CCCCCATGGATCGAATGGTATTGTCCTATTGTTAAACGCTAACCAAAATTAGTAAACAACATGGCGGACTCGACTCGCCGGAATGCCCGGGCGTCGATCATAAAAAGTGTGGTTAGCTGCTCGAATTCGCCACTCCGGTTCAAATTTTGAGCATAAACGAATATTATACAGTACAAGGATTGCTGCCGCTGCCCCGCGCGTTAGGTATTCCCCCCTGTTCGCCTCCGCGCGTGCCCGGACACTCCCTCGCGTGTCCGGGCGTTAAATAGTAGGACCGGAAAAGAAGTATCAAAGTCGAAAATATCACTTTTTACCAAAAATTACAAAAATATTCACTAAAATTAGAGAATTAAAGATATCATCACGAAATGAACAAATCTGAGAGATGTTCAAATGTAGTACCCTATACATGTAATATCAAAGCAACTGGACTTGCAGTTTTCCACAAGAAGTTGAAAATAGGCAAAATCCAGCTGATAGTCAGCTAGGAAGTAAAGTTTCAATTGGACTGTACTATAAGTTACTGGATAGTATAATGAGGCTTACATAATTTCACAAGCTTAATTAAACTCTTTAACAAAGTCTAATGTGATTCTGTTAGGAGACACTGAATTTGGCCTTAGTAAAATACATAGATCTGATCCGGGGCCTACGCAGAGCACCTATAAAACAACCAACCGATTTGCTGTATTAAATGGTAATGGACAAAAAACAGAATGCTGGGAAGTCAAATTTTCAAACAGAGTACTTTGATACACACTTGCTAAACAGGATTAGCCCTGGATCCAGTGTGGTCAGGGTGGGCGTTATTTACATTTGGTCACCAGCTGCCAACACAAATTGTGATAAATTCAAAGTATAATTGAGATTTTTACAGACAATCAGTTTGTTTGTAGTTTGTGTTGACTTCAGCTGATGCAAAACAGCATCAATTTTGCTGCTCATCCATCTCATTTCACTATAGAAGAATCCATGGCAGTGTTTAAGTAAGTAGCCAATAACCAAATGTAAATGTCTACTCTTCCGACAATGCCATTGGATCCAGGCCTAGAACAGGACCAGCCAAAGTAATAGTGGTGAAGTAATGGCCAAATTAATTTCTTGGTTGGTGTTTGAACACATGTTTGAATGTGGCAATAGCACAAGACCAGAAAACATGAATAATAGACTTGGTGGTCGAGTAAATTCTGCTTTGGTCCCAGAAAGTGAATGAACTCCAGGTTTGCAAACACATTGTATCATCTCACACGACAGTGCTAATAAAGTTTTTCACCAGAGAAGGCTGTATTCTCATTGGTTTCCACACAACATGGTTCAAGAATCTGCACCGAGATTCCTATTTTATTGTTGTGAACGATTATTATTATTGTAACGATTAATGCCTTGCTACAGGATCTCTACTCACCATTAACAAAGACAGGTTCATCCTGGCCCATTGATGTTGGAATGTTGATTGGTGGAGTAGCACTTCTTTCCTTTCCTAATTTGCCCCAAAAAGAAGCAGGTCCAACATGAACTCCAGCAGTATTTTGTGCCGTCTATCAAGAAGAATATATATATATAGTATTTACATACAACTGGACAACCTTTCAAGTTGAGTTGCTTTAATTTTTCAAATCCTGAAATATGCACTGTATTGTGATTTTTTCACTGTCACAATAACTTTCATAAAATTTTGTCCTCGTAAATTTCACTTAAAATTATAAAATAGAAAAACATTTCTAGCCATGATTAGCATACACATATCTGAGAGATAATTTGAACTTACTGGCAATGCAGGAAATGCATGTGAATCTCTTTCTTGTATTTCATATAATGCCATAGACTCCTCTAATGCTTTTTTCTCTTCTCTCTCTTCAGGGGTGTGTCCAAAGAAGTTTTTAGGTGATCCTCTTCCAGCATATCTACCACCTCCTCTACCTCTTCCACTAGCATTTGGAGGCGGTGGCCTGTAAGCATAATTATTCATTTGTTACCCAGCATTTAGTCCTATCCTACCCTAACATCTTTCTAGTCACAAATGATTTCAAAAAATATCTGTGACTTACAGATGTGTACATAAATACGTCTAGTCTGTTTTAGGGATCAAACTGTATCTCATTTCTGCATGGGGCAATGTCAGTTACTTCCATCAGGAAGGTTAACTTCACAAATTCAAAATAATGCAAGTCATATAGTCAACATAAGAAAACACATCTTTTGTACAGTTAGCTGTAGTTTCAATTCAAGGCAATTTCAAAATCTAAATATTGCAATTTTGATTTGCACCCATTAAAAGTTAAACCAGAGTGTTCATGGCAGTATAGGAGAAAAAGAAATTCGTCGGGGATCATTAACACATTAAAGTTAGCTATGCTCCTATGTGATCATTGTTTTATAGAGGTCAAGATCAGCCAGAAGATGTTTAGCATCAAAATTAGAGCAATTTGATCAAAATTGTGCTTACACAGGGTGAAAAGATATAATTAGCTACTTAATATGCATAAACAGGGCTTTAAAACTAATGTTATCCAAAGGTACCTATGTAATAAATTTAATAAAAATCCACTCAGAAGTTTGAAATTTTGCTTACACATTCAGAAACACCAAACTCAGACACACAGAAGGTACAAAATATTATGCACACCTAAATCTTTGAGAAAAAATATTTCACATAATGTAAAACAATTTTTAGCAAATTCATATGCCAACAAATTAGCACAAAACTAAAGGAACAAAAAATTTTTTCCAGCCACCAATCGTCCTAGGGTTTCTTATGGGTCAACGCTTACATTTCTCATGCATCAGGTTCAATGATTGGCAGTCACCAAGCTAATTTCACACAACGACACACACCTACCTATCTGTATAAGACCATTGAGGTCTTTGAGACATTTGATGACATTCCTGCTGAAATGGTTTATTAGTCCTTACAAATGACTGACATGGTTCCATGGAGTTTTCTTGGTTCACCCTGTTCATAAAACGTGGTGGCTGCCTGAAATATAAAGCATTTTTGATAGATGAATAATCTTGTCAAACTGTATGGCATTTTAAGATTAGATTGGATTGGATTGGTATTTTGTTAATAAACTGCAAATGTCTTAGATGCAGCTAGACAGATGAAAATGAAACATCGTCTTCATTGCCATTGGTCATCCAAGAAATGCTGCAAGAAGTGCCACGCCCATAAAAAAATGGAAAGCCTCCTTTTGCAAAAACCAAAGCAGGATTATAATATTAATTGAATAAAGGAACAAGATCACTATTTGACTTCCAAAATATTTAGTGAATGGGACAGCCACCTATGGACTTATGGGTGATTAATAATGGCCTGGTGGTTGATGCTTAGAAACAGTCTGGGAATGAAAAACTAGAGTGATTGTTACATACTTACTTTGGGGGAGAGTTAAATTTCTGTGGTTGTTTTTGTCTTTCTGGTTGTTGTAAACACATCATTGGTTGCTGCTCAAACGGCTGTTGGTATTGAGGCATAATTTGACCAGGAGGTCCTTGATACATATTACTGCTATATTGAGCTTTTCCTCCTCTCTTGATTTTCCTTTTATTTTTTGGATCTAAATGTAAAGATATACAAGTCAAACATGTATCAAGACCACCAAAGAGACTTCTTTAAAATGGTCATATGGTTTTTAAATGGAAAAAGAAGTATTCTTGTATGAATCGCTTACTCGTACATTTGATGCAATACTTGTCTAGAAAATAATGAGATGATACTGTTGCAATAAAAACACATTTGCATTTATCAAAATCTTATAAGTTTGACTTGAAGAAATTACTGTAAAAATATTGCTAAAAGAGTGACCAGGTAAGGCAGTTGGGTCCTTTATACATAGGTTTCCCATATGTTATGCCTTGGGACTGCCTAAAAGCAGTCACCTGAAACGGGTTGTCTTTTTACAGAGGTGGTCCATTTTTTTCAAAAATGTCAAAATTTGTAAAGAACTGGAAATTAAAGGAAATACATGAAAAATATACGAAATAAACTGCCAATATTATGGAGTTCAAGGAGTAATAATGAAACATGGCAATAGGTAATGACATACAATTGCTTACCATTATAATCCGGTACATATCCATTGATTGGTTTATGGTAATATCCGCTTAAGTTCTTGTAGCCTTTATTACCAGTGCCCATCCACTGTCGATTTGGTGCACACATTAGTGGTTTTAAATTCTTCATTGGTAAGGTATGCCTGTAAAACAGTGAAAGTGGTTTTGTTAAACATCAATTTCCCTGTATCCTAGAATTGCACTAAAATAGCTGATAATAGCTGATAATTATGTCATGGCATGGTTACTGTGAACCAACGCAATTCAGAATCTAGGTTATTAGGCCCAAAAATAAAATACAAGACTAAGTATATTTTTGGTTTTTGATAAAAATAAAATATTATACAACTCTTAATAACCACTAAAGATGGGTTTCTTGAAAATGTTTTTGCAGAATCAAACACCATCAATCAGTGTTCTCGCAGAAAAATTGTAAACAGTATTGGCCAATTTGCTTAACAATGTTAATGTATTGTATTCATTGTTATCCAAAATTTAACAGTTGGACGCCTTACTCTATAATGCCCTGGGAAGAACCCTGTCAATAGATCAATGCTTATTATATTTCATATGCTACAAAATAACATTTTGGGGAATGTTTTCATTCAATGTAGATCACACACTGTTCGACTGCCAGACACATGTATGGTATATTACTGTAAAATCTGTATTAGAAACCGCGGCTTCTATTAAAATGGTACAATGCAATAGAGGGGATGAGGCTTCTATTAGAGCATCTACACATATGAGAAATGACAAATTTTTGGTTCTCAATTATTCAAAAAGAATGGGTGCGACTTCTATTAGGGATGCGGCTTCTAATACAGATTTTACGGTAGTATATGAAAACCTTACCTCTCTCCAAGATCTTCAATGAAGACTGTTACAGGACCATCCTGCGAGTGAACTTCTTGTATGTGAGCATTAAAATATCTACTAGTTCCATCATCGAAGTGAACCTATAAAACAAATAACCAAGTGAAAGTTTAAATAGTGGTTTGCAAAAGAAGCCTATGTGTACATTTGTGAACACACTGACTACCAACATTTGCTAAAATAAATTTGCTTCCTCATTCTGAAGATTTTTTAAATCATGACTCGATCGTGATCACAATTTCAAAATCCATATCCAATTGCATCTGGCATACATTAGCATAGTTCATCATTGCAAATCTTTATTCAACTCAAAACAGTGATGATTAACTTTCTTTGACATGGTGAAAAATATTTGGGAATGTATGCTGCATTTTTTGCTAGAAAATTCTGAAGATGTCATTTCCAATTTGCAGATATAAAATAAAACTATAGCATGCACTGCGAAACAGGTCACAAATTACACACTTGCAAACACTGACTGGAGATTCCTAAATATTACCCAGGAACATAATGCACAATAATTACATACACATTACCCAGGAACATAATGCACAATAATTGCATACACATT